ATGAAATTTTTCCTGTAACTGATAAAATAAATATAAGAGATGAATCGATTAATGAAAATAATCGAAAATCAAATCAAATTTCAGATAAACCAAATTTAAAAATCACTTGTATACCACCAAGTGCACCAGAAGCTCGTCCGACTGATAAAACACTATTTGATATAACAGATACACCAAAGAAGAGAATATTTTCGAATACAATTATTTCTCCATCGATTGAAACTAAAGAAATTATTGAATCTAAACTACTATCAAATTTACCATCGAAACGATATCAGGATGTATTCTTCACAACATCATTTTTAAATAAATTCATTCGATCTATTGATGATTTATCACAAAATGAATATTCATCCTATCATGTTAAATATAAAGTTATCGATAGACTTGTTCGTCTTTGTTCAAAATTGAATATAGTTAATGAAATATTCGATTCGATTATTTCATGTTTATGTTCAAAATTTTATCAACAAATTTTTCTAACAATTGAACCGGAACAAATTCGTTTCAGTTCAAAACAATTATTTTTTATTTATCAATGTACACAATTTATTATTCAAAATCAATTTCAACAACAAGAACGAATTCCTAATTTATTATGTCAAACTATGATTAATACTACAAAAACAATTATTGAACATATTTTTCCAATGAATGGTAATTTTATAATTTCATTCGAATAATTTTTTATATTTCTGTTTTTCAAGATGACGAACTTAATTCGATATATTTTCATCAGCAAGATATTGCTCTCTATGCATTAAATTGTCATTTGGAATTATTAAATTATTTATCATTAACATCAAATGGTAGACGATATTTTCTACAAACAAATATCATTGATCAAATGATGAATATCTTACAACAAGATCAATTAATTGCTAATTCATGTGAACATGAAGAACTTTTTCATTCTGATATTGCTGTTATTGTACATACAATTATGTTATTATATAATTTAGCTTATGAAAAACAAATGTTTTTAATTTTGAAAAAAAGAGATTTTCAAAATATTTATTTTAAATTAAAATCTTCAAAAGATAAGTCTATTAAATTTGTACGCAAAACTTTATCGTTAATTTTAAATCAAGATCAAATTCATGAAGAAAATGAACCTATGAAATTAAAACAAGCTTATATTGAACATCTTGAAGAACCTACTGAGAAATTAAAAGATAAAACCGTACCTGATATTGTTAGAACTACAAGAGGTATGTAGGAATATTATATTTTCCAAAATGAATTTCTTTTGTTTTTAAAGAACGAGATGATAATATTAAATTAGCGACTTTAAATGAAACATACATAACAAATTTAAGTCGAGATGTTGAAGAATTATCTAGAAATGAATCTTCAATAAGTCCAGCTAAATACAAAAGTGTTGGACAACGTGTTCGTGTTGTTACAAAACAAGAAACTAAAGAAGTTGAATCATTATTAGATCCCATATTAAAATGCTTAAATTCAAGTTTTTATCTTAAAATTTTCGAAAATATTGAACTTAATCATGGAAAAGTTATATCTGGAACTATACAAACAAATCGTAGTCTAGCTGCAAGACATATATTTTTTATGCGTGAATGTCCAGAATTTCTTTTTCGACATGATTATAAACGACGAAAAGAAATAGCGAATTCATTAGGACAAAAAATGTTAGAACATACAAAAACGATATTCAATCAACATCTATCGATTCTGATTGAAGAAGAAGGTAAGAAGGATTATGATTCTATTTTAAAAAAAAAAGCAAGAACAAACTTTTCATTGTCAATATATTGATATGCACATGTGGTAGGTCAGTCTGAGATTAGACTTAGGCTATTGTGAGATCCGACTTTGGACTAGTTCAATCTTTAATCTCAGATTAGTCTACGACATACATATTAATTACAAAAAAAAACTACTTTACACGAAAAATAGATTTCGTTTTATTTTAGGTAAACAACCAGTCGATGAAATGAAAGCAGCACGAATGACAGCATTAAGTTATCATATAAAAGTATTGAATCATTTTACATTGATACGATCAATACGAAAAGAATTTTTATCATTAAGTATCATTGAACAAATTCTAAAAATATTACAAGATAGATCATTAATTGATAGAGATCAAATCATTAATGAAGCTAAGACTGCAGTTGTTGAACAATCTTTAATATTATTGTATAGTCTAGGACAAGAGAAAGAAATAATTGGAATATTAAGAAAAAAAAATTTATTTGATATTTGTTTGAAATTACGTATTGTTAAAGATAGAATTATACGTTTCATATCACAAATTTTATTAACTTTATTAGACAAAGATGCTCATAAACATATTCATGAACCATATTCACTATCAAAAACTTCTATTGAATATGTTGATAAGGCAGTTAAAGAAACTAGAAAATCATATCAAGGTATCAAGTTACATCGTTTATTAAAAAATCTTGAAAGTAAGTAATAGACATTTATGAACAAAAAACAAAGATTATTTCTATTTTAGTTATGACTGCAAACGATGCATTTACTGAATGTCTTCTCGAAGCAAAAGAAGGCATTACAGTTTTTATAAAATGTATTTGTATAAAATATTTCGATGAAAAAGATTCAGACCGTGAAAACAAAGAAATGATTAATAGAATACATAATTCAGCTGTATCTATTATTTGGAGAATTTCATCCTATGGACCAAAACCAATTTCAAAATTAAAAGCGAATGATTTATTTATTGATCAAATTCTTATATTATCAAAAGAAAAAGTAGAAAATACGAAAAGAGCTGCAGATGGAATTATTTGGAGATTAGGAAATGAAGATAAAATACGTTTTGAGAAGTCACAAAAAAAACGTAATCAAGAAAATAAAACCGATGATGATCAAGTTATTGAGCCTGAAGAATGGGATGAATCAATACCATATGATTTATTAATAAGTTATAGTAATAAAACTAATGATAAGATTATTTCTGGAAAGATTTATAATCGTTTAATATTAAAAGGTTATCGGGTATATATTGAAAAATTGGGACAACATCGATTCGAATTAATGCAAAAGGCCATTGATTCTAAAAAGCCTATACTTGTTTGTTTGTCATCAGCCTATCGTGCATCAACAGTGTGCATGGCTGAAATTGAATATGCAAGCAAACAATCAAGTCCAATTATTCCTGTTATAGTCGAAGCAAAATATAATGTACAAGGTTGGTTAAAACATCTTATCGGTGAAAAAAAAACTATTGATGTAACACAGAAAAAATTCAATGAAGTATTCATTAATATATTAGAAGAAATTGAAAAAACAAATAGTTCTGATTAATTGATTTTCTTTTTAGTCTTCGAACAAACATAATATTCACAAATATTCAGGAAATATATGTGAATTTTTTATAATTATTTTATTTTTTAGATATATAATTATTTCTCTAACTATACATATTTATTAATTTAAAGGTCAGTTTTTATGAATGTATGTCTTGAAAGCATAGTTTTTTTTTTTCTTTTAATCTATAATTTTAGCAATATTATCATTCTTGTTGGTGACGCAAAATAATCGATGTCGTCTACTAAATCAAAATCAAAGGAAACTTCTGATTTTTATCAAGCATGTCGTAATGGATTAATCGATGAAGTTCGTGAACGTCTACCAAATATGACTCTAGAAGAAGTCGATAGAATTGAAGAAAATGGTTCAACGGCACTTCATGCTGCAACTTACTTTGGTCATACAGAAATAGTTAAATTATTATTAGAAAAAGGTGCTAGTCGTTCGATAACGAACGGTTATAAAGCTGTACCGTATGATGAAGCTGAAAAAGAGGATATTAAAAAATTATTTCTACGTCCAACAACAACTCGATTTTCTGATGATGGATCGGGTCGTATTGATTGGATAAAATGTGATGATGCAGCTGAAGTTCTAGCAAGTGAATATCGATTTCGTCATAGTGGATTTGGATGGCAAAGTAAAAATATTGAACATCGTTTAAAACATATCAAAGCGGAAATGTCTCATACAGAACAAGAACGTATTAGTGCATTTATTAATAAAGCACAAGATGATCCATTTTGTCTTCTTAAAGCTTATACTTGTGAATCTGATTTTTATATTAAATTAAATCGAGATTTAGCAAGCAAACATTTTGATCAGGGTACAAATTTTGGTATAACATATTTTATTGATTTTTTCTACAATCATCCAGCATTCGAAGATTTTTCCTACAAAGGAAAAGTATATCGTGGTATGAGTATAACACAGGATGATCTTAAACAATATAATATTGGAGGAAAAGTTATGAGCAAAGCATTTATGTCAACGTCAAAAGATAAAAATATTGCTGACGATTTTATTAAAAAGAATCTAAGTTATCGTAAAAAACAACACGGTGAACTCGTCAAAATGTCCGCTTTGTGTACATATGAAATAGTTAACAGACGAACTGGATTATATATTGCAAAAATATCCGAATATGGACATGAAGAAGAAGTATTGATAGGCCCATATACAGCTTTTATAATTAAAGCAATTCGTCAAACTACTCCAAAATATGTTGAAATTGATCTTCGAGAATGTGAAATAGTCGATAAAAAAGAACAAGATGATGATGATGATGATTTTGATGATGATTAGACTAAAATAATCGCATTTCTTTTATTTGATATTGTATTTTTTTTTCTCAAAATACATCGATATCAATAAAAGTCAATTGTATACTTAATTCAAATAATTTTCATACAAATTTAATTTTACATATGAACAATGTCGAGCTATGATAACTGTACGCTCAGCATGTTTTAATACTTCATCGTATTTATCGGTCGATACAACATTAATATTGGTTCAAATTAAAAGATAGATATGATAAGATGGTAAAATTCGTTCTTTAACCTTTAGAAAAGTTTGAAAATTGTACAAAGTTTTCGAATAGTCTTTCAAATCATAGTAACTCATTCTAATATAAATTATATTGAATAGCTAAACTATGGGATCATTTTCTGATGGAATAGTCCGATTTATTTGTAATGCTTGTTAATGCTTTTCGAGTACTTTACGAATGTGATCTTGATCTTCAAGAGCCGATCCGTTACTGTTGTAAACAATGGCTGCTTGTTGTTTATTTGGTTCATTCTCTTTGGTTTCGATATCTTTTGCTTATTGATAAAAAGCAAGATGCCTCGATCGAAGTCATTCTGTTTGCAAAGTACGATGTTGAAATTTGTATAAGTTGATGCAAGACGTAATGCATTCGGACAATGATATTTTAAACTGTTCGCCAACGATTTTTCATAGTGCATAATCACATTATTAAAATCAACCTTTTGATAATGAATAACACACAACTGATGATGAACAGAAACAAATATTGAAGTTTGATTATCAATTGTTTTCTCAACAATTAACTCATAGATATCTTTTTCTTTGTTCCATTCTCCCGTTTTCGCCATCAGTTGACCAAGTCGATGTTAACTTGTAAATTATTTGACATCACTACGCATAAAAGTCATTACACGTCGAAGATCATCATCGTCATCATGTGTTAAGATTAACTTAATATTCCATATTTCATTATCTAACAGTGTAATCTAACCAATTCGAAAGATAGTATGCATTGAGAAGAGATTTTCATTTTCAAACTTGAAATAACAACGTTGGTTTAATAAGGCGAATGGGCTCAATACATTTTCATTATCATTAATATCAATTTTGAAAAGAATTATTTTTAAAGTTGGATCATTTAAGCTTCAATAGCAAAACCAGGGTGTGAATATGGATGTGGGTGTGGGTGTGGGGTGGCTAGGGTGTGAGGATGTGGTGTGGGTGATGTGTGTGTGGATCTGGGTGCGTGCAGGTGTAGGTATGGGTGAATGTGGGTGCAGGTGTGGATGTGTGAGTGTCAGTGACGGGTTTTCTGTTCACCGCCAAACCCACGTTTACGCTCCACAGTCATACTCCGCACACCCACACCCTACTAGTTGACATATTTCGGATAGATGAATTAAGTTCTTTGTTTGAATTGCATTGTATATTGTAATTACCTCGATTATCTCCTATATCACCATAAGCAGAAACTAGAACAGAGTTCTAGAAATTCATACAAGGTATCAAATATATATTTAAGTCATGTATTGTTATCGACAATAAACTCATAAATAGTTGATAGAATTTGAATTTATAACTACTTTATCTAAGCATAACGATATAATAAACATCCTATTTTTTAATGAAATTCAATAAATTTACTACTACTATCAACAATAACATTAAAAATATGTATACAAACTGGCTTCACACTACTGAACTCAAAAACAATGTATATACATCGTTGAAGGAAAACAACATATGATAGATGTATTTTAAGATGTTCAATATTTCAACTAGTAAATTAATTTACTGCTATAAATTCTTATATTTCTTTTCATTATTTCCTATTTGATTAGTCAGATTTTTCTCATTGTAATTCATAGTTTTCTATGAATATTTTGTCTAGATGTGGCACGTAGATTTTCTTCTTAAATATCATAACACATCGATGAATTGAATTAAAAACCAAATTGTTTGACTTAATATACTTTGGAAAATGTCTTCGGTAATAAACATTATTATTTGAAATTGTTTGTAAAATGGGTCCATAATTGTAAAGAAGTATTTTCTATCTCTAACCTACATCATTCACAATATGAATACTTCTATATATAGTAGTTAATGAAAAGGAAAATTTCTATTTTTCTCAATTCAGTCGTTAAAACAGGGATTACAATCGTTAAGCAAAACTGTAAATAATCAGACTATGCATTTACAACAAGTGCATCAGCATTCATAATGTTGTTTTCATTAAAACAGGTGTCTCTTGACAGATAGGTGTACTTTATTTCGAAAAAGTCGTAAATATCATGTTTTATATGGATACTCTATCTTTACCAAAGACAGTCTCACTGATTGGGTCAATTCGTAACCTAGCTAGTATTCACTGCACTGTGATGATACATGAAGTTATACAACTTGTAGCACAAATTTTCGCTCCAAATACATAATATTGCCTCATCTGAAACTGAAGTGAAATAAAATAGGTAACTAAAAAACTTTGCTATTAGCTGATGCACTCACTTATTGCAGCTACTCTTTCACATAGATACATTCTTCGAAGAATTAAATAATAAATGCAATAAATAAAAAATTCACTTATGCAAATATAGCTATAAATATAACTTGCTATTAGACATATTAGGGAGGGCAGACTGCAACTTTCTTAACGGAACGGTATGGCTTTTTCTCTTCTTTCAAATCGTATATATTTCTTTGACAACTCTTAGTTAAACGGGTTTCAGACAGATCATTTTTTTTTTTATCAATTAATAGAAATTATTCCTCTCTTTCAAACAGTCTATCATGTTTGTTTATTACACATTCGTAAATGAAATGACAAGACAGAAAAAAAAGAAATGCTCGGGCAATAAATTTGTAATTTTATATAAAATCGTCACAAACATCTTGTTAGGCAATAGCAATTAGTTCGATTTTTGTAAACTCTTTAAAAAAAACTTGTAAAACAAAAGTTGATTATAATTAATTGTTGTCTAAAGGATGTTTTTATCGAATCCATACAAAAATTACAAAATTTATTTCTCGAGTGTTTTTCTTTTTTCTCGTCTCGTTTTACTTACTAATGTGTGAGGGTGTGGGTTTTCAATTTATCCTAACACTCATCCCACACCCACATCCACATCCACACCCACCCACACCGTACAGATGACGAGTATCATCGATGTCTCTGTGATATTGTACACGGGAAAAACTATGCACCAACTACTTAGAAAACAGGGCTGAGGAAATCTATCATACTTTTCAATTATCGCTGATGAAATACTTTCGTATCATTTCATACTACTAATCTTTTCTGTATGCATTGCGTCAATAATTTGTCAGCATTACATATAATTACAAAATCGTTGTGCAATTACTTTCGTTACATTTAAAAACCACGAACGTACAGCAGATAATCATTTCACAAACTTTATTAAAGAAAAAGAATAAATTCGACACTCAACTCCTGTGAATTTAATCAGTTGAGCCACTGGTATCAAATTTATATTTAATATAATAAAAGTAAACCAAAGATTATTGTATATTTGTATATAGTTTTTATAAAAATTTTCATTGTAGTGATTCGTGAACGTGGTCGTGGATATGCAAGAGGTCCTGGTATTAGAGGTGGTCGTGGATATACAAGAGGTGCCGGTATTAGAGGTGGTCGTGGATATGCAAGAGGTCCTGGTAGCAGAGGTGGTCGTGGCTATGCACGTGGCCGTGGTCAATCTTTTGGTGGTCGATGGTTACAAAACGAACGGTTAGACTCGATGGATGTTAATGATCAACAAACAGTATCAGTCAATTTCTTAGGCGATCTTGATATCAATGCTGATCCAAAACCATTTTTTGTAGATCCAAAGGTTACTCTAGATCAGCATATTCAAGCACAAATGACAAACCTGCCTCGTTATGTAGCTGCGTTGTTCACACTTAATGAGAACAGTGTTGAAATTGGTCAGAAAGCTAAAGCATGTGCATTGGCTGCTGCTTGGTGCCGACATGATCACACTTTAGCTAATAATCTTTTACGTCATCGACAATTATTCACTCTAACTGAAGTACTGAAAGCAGTAACGATGTTAGATGCTGGTCGACAACTTCGTGCTTATGAAAAACAAATAAAACGTCTTGAATTAAGTAAAACAAAACCAAAAGCAACAATATTGGGTAAAATGAAAAATAATATCGATAACTTAAATAGACTCAAAGCATCAACTGGATCAGTCAGTGGTGCTGTAGCTCGACATATTCAGCGCTGGACTCGAACATTAACTCGGCAAGAACTCGAATATTTTGCACTGCATATGCCAACAGAATCATGGAAAAAATTAGCCGATGTTGTTCATTTTAATCCAAGCAAAGATTTTCCTGCTTTACCATGGTTTTTACCATTTTGCTTCGGTACACCAGCACCAGAAGAAACAATGGTAGCACGTTGTCGAACTTTAACAAACGAAAATGTAAATGATCTAATTAAAGAATTTAAAATTCCTTATTCACATTTAAAACAATTTAAAGATCATTTAAATGATAAATCAAAAGCAAGAATTGCAGCGTATGAAGAGAAATTAGATACAATTTTATGGTATTACGAAGATTTACAATGTTCTGACGTTGATGATATTATCAGTGAAAGACTCGAAAACGGTGAAGAAATAAGCTTACCATATGGTAAACTTATGGAACGTCTGTTAGTTCTTCGAAAATTACGAGATACTCCAAGTGAAACAGCAGCCGTTGGCAATATTCAAGATCAAAATTCGGTACAATCGAGCAAAAATAAATGCTATTCTTACTTATTATCAGTTGCTGAAAGTCAACTTGCAAAAATAAAATTACCATTAGCATCACCCGTAGCTGTCATGGGTGATGCATCATATTCAATGGATGTTGCTATTCGTACAGCAACTATCTTAGCGTCCTTACTAACAGCAGTTTGTTCAGCTAAATTGAACTTTTTCCATACTGAAATGTTTTTACCAGTATTTATACCGAAAACTATTGAAGATGTTCTTACATTAGCATTGACAACAAAAGCTCATGGTTTAACAGCCAATGCTGCTGGTTTAGTATCATATTATGATAATAAAGAAATTATTAAAACATTTATTATGGTAACAGATGAGATAGAAAATACAGATGTTCATACCGCTGATGGCACACCAACACGATTCTTTAATTTGTTTATGAAATATCGTTCAGAAGTTTATCCAGCTAAATTAGTATTTATTTCCTTCCTTGATAATCAACATGATCAAGGTCAAATGTATACAGAATTTCTAAATGCGAATGTACCAGATGTAATTCAAGTAAGTTACACGAATAATTGAATGTACATATTTTTTATTTTTAATTGTTTTGTGCTTAGTTCAAATTCAATGGACAACGGCCAGATTTGACAAAAATCGATAATCTCTTGGGCCTGTTATCGACTGATTCATCACAAACATTTAATGATCAATTACGAAAACTACAGAATGAATTTGAACAAAGTAGTATTGAATCAGTAATGATGAGCTTAATTAATAAACAAACGAACAATGGACCTCCAAATGAAGTATAACAGACTGCGACGATATACGAATAACTTCTGAGTGTACATCTAAATTTGTTTCTTATTTTTAAAATAAAGAATACATAACAGAGGTGAACATCAGGTCGCTACAATCGACGTGAGTTTCACCCTGCAGCGTCGATTGTGGCGACCTCATGCTCACATCTGATACATAATTATTATTATTACTATATGATGTTCTTTTACTTAATAGTAAGAATAAGTGGCAAGATTACTACGAATCATCGTAATAAATTTTCTCATGTACAACTTTATAATCTGTTACTTTCGATGCAGAACATCAGCACAATTAAGGTCAATATCTAAATTTCAAACAGATAGAATTAAGAGGGTAGGTGTATGGGTATGGGGTGTGGATGTGGAGTGTGGGTGGCAATCATATTGCCATCCTACCTCAACAGATTACCCCGCAACCACATCCACACCCAAAATGCATTCGTATTCACTTGTTTTTGTTACTATAAATTAGTTATGGAGCTAACTGAAGATCATGTTCGGAATACACATAAAAAACTACATTGAGGGTGTGGGTGTGGGTGTGGGTGTGTGGGTGTGGGTGTGGGTGTGGGTGTGGGTGTGGGTGTGGGTGTGGGTGTGGGTGTGGGCGTGGGTGGGTGTGGGGGTGTGTGTGTGTGT